GTGAAACAGTGGATGTTGTATTGTCTTTTACCAGTTATTGGTTGTTGTATTTTTCTTTTACTAATAAAAATACTTTAATTAAAAAAAATTCTATTTTGCTATTCAGGGACAAGAAATCAGGACTCCTACACCTGAAGAGGGGGAGCCCAGGGAGCAGATACCGTCCAAAGAAACATCTCCATCTTCAGAGGTTCCTGTAGAAGACAATCTCTTTGAAGCTGGCAGAAAAGATGACCAGAATCCTGGCACCACCGATGATGGTGGAAGAAGCCCAACCAACGCTGAAAAACTCCCAGAGGCCAGAAAGGAAGAAGGTAGTCTTGTACCTGTGGAGCAGGAACCAGATAAAAGCTTAGAACCGGTGTCCTCCAAAATTAAGAGGTCCACCATCAGGGCAGGTTCAACAACAACTCTTGCCTTGGGGAGTGCCAAGTCCCTCAGAAGCCCAGAACCTCCAAGCGATAGTGAAGGGACCAGTCTAGAGACAGGAATGGGGACTTCCCAAAAAGAGAGCGAGACGTCCAGGACCCAAACCAGCGTCAGCAGTGCGACGATGTTCCAGGAGGAAGATTCCATGGTCTTGTCCGCCTTCCCAGGGATGCTGTTTGAGGAGAAGACTCAACCGCTCTCCGATCACCCTCTCGTGAGTCTGGGCGAAGGGCAGGGAAGAGATGGCCGTGAAGGCCTTCCAACAACAGGATTCCCGTACAACCCACCCCCCCTTGGGATTTTTAGTTGGGTGGGCCTTCTGATTGGGCTAGTCTGGATCGGTGACGTGCAGTCAGGAGAGACAGGGGAGGCAGAGCCTCACCACTGTCATCATGAAAAGAAAAGGAAAAGGAAAAGGAAAAAGGCGACAGCTGAGGTCAGGCTGATCTTTGCTGGTCTTTGACCGTAATAAAGATGTCTCAATTTGGGACAATAATTTGACTTTGACATTTCTTTCAGAGCTTGTCATGGGTCTTTGGCTACAACAGCCGCCTGCCTGTTTTCAACCTTCTGGATGAAGATCAACGGGTGCTGTTGTATGTCTCTGCTCACACCGCCGTCATCCATGACATCTTGAACAATAAACAGCGCCTCCTGCAGGTAAGACCGAGTTCCCCAGGTGGTGCTGCAGCCCGCACCTCTTCTGAGCCTTAAGAATCATGAGAAAGAGCAGATGGGGAAAGTTGTGGTTCCGCCGGTGGCCTCCGGAGTGGCAGAAGATTCGGGCAGTGAGGCGGTTGGGGAGGAACATGGGCCAGTCCTGGAGTCTGGGGAAGGCTCGGACGAGGGCTCTGCATCGGAGGCAGAGAGGAGGCCAGGGCCATCTGGAAGTTACGTGCTGCCTCCGGAGCCTCCAGAGTCGGACATCAGCAAGGCAGAGGAACAGGGGGAGCCTGTTCCCAGTGCGCGCATGCACGGAGCTGCCAGAAGGCAAGAACAGTTAAGTCAAAAGGGAGTACTTGAGAGTAAGGCTTGGAGGTGAATGGCCCCTCCCATAAAGGAGGAGCAAAGGCACGTGAGCCTTTGGAGAAAGCAACTTTGTTCATACTGGTCGGTTTAAACTCTGAAGCTCTGTTTTGACTCTGTGCTCTGTTTGGCCTTGAAAAGCTAATTGCCAAATAGGTCTTTGGCAGCAGTTCAAGGACAATAAAGGTGGGTGCTTATCAGCCTTATCCTGAAAGACTTTGGCAGACTACTGTCGGACTCTTTGCAAACTATTTGTGACTCATTATGGGCTGTGAATAAAAATAAATCACAGCCGTTGAAATAAATAGAGAGTTTTTGGGACTAAGCGTGTGGTTTGTACTGTATCAGGAAGCCTAGGTCACCTCAACCATGAGGATGTCTATTTCTTCTGAAACCTCCCGTGTTTCTTAGGGACATTCCAGCTGCATCTCCTGCATCTGTGTCAGCGATGACCGGCGGTGGATTGCCACAGCCGACCGAGGTCCTGACAGCCTGGTGATCCTCTGGGACAGCTACTCAGCGTAAGTTTCGGGAGGCTGCAGGATGAGGTTCTCCTTTTCTTGATAGCAGCCCATGGTACCTCTTGATCTTCTGAGTTGAGTTGTCTCCTTGGAGCACTCAACAAAATGTTGGTTAAATGCAGCGCCCATGAGAGCAGGAATTCAGAAAGACTTTTTTAAAAAAAAACTGAAAAGTAAACCTTATTTCTTGCTGTACAACAGGGGTCTCCAAACTTGGCAAATTTTAAGACTTGCGGTCTTCAGCTCCCAGAATTTCTCAGCCGCCATGGGGAATTCTGGGAGTTGAAGTCCACAAGTCTTAAAGTTGCCAGGTTTGGAGTCACACACACGCACCCCTACTGTAGAACCAACAAGATCCATCTCAGTTTATCTTGTTAAAAGTGAATGAAAGAATAGGCTCCACCTATTCAACATCCACATACAACAGGATGTGCCCTTCGCTGTCACCGTCTCTACGGGATGGTTTAGCTCCAAAAGGACCGTCCAGCAGCAGAGATATTGATGGCAATTTTGGAGCTACAAGATTGCACGTCGTACCGTCGTGACGTTAGCCCCGCCTCCCCAAAACTAGCTTTTTGGCCACGCAGTTCAATTCATGGTTCCAACAGAAGACAATATTTATATCTCGGGATTATACTGTAGAGTTCTTGGTGCTCTCTGAGCTCGGTTGTTTTCTTGTAGACGTCTCATTACCCAACTAGGTAATATCATCAGTGGTAGAAGAGAGAGGAGTTTGAGGACTGAAGGAAGGAGTAGGGGAGGGGAGGAGGGGGAGGGGGAGGAAGGTGGAAGAGGAGGTGGACTGTTGGGTCCTTGATGCTCTCTGATCTTGGCGGTTTCATGACCCAACTTGTTACATCATCAGTATTCAACTAATCATGTCCAGGGACGTGAGGGCTACACAAATACCTGGAGGTCTCCAGACCTAGACAGAGAGCTCTACTGAGTTCTCCTCCCGGTTCAGATGCTTAAGTTGGCGCCCACAAAATGGAGACCCTTCCACTCAGCCACAACTGCAGCCATCTTGTTCTTCAGGATTCCTGTCCACACCATCTTCGACAGCCACCCCAAAGGGGGAGTCAGCGCCATCACCCTGTCTCATGACTCCAAGTACCTGGCTACCGTTGGAGCCGAAGAGGTGCAGGTAAAGGAGAAGGATTTTCTAGAGTGTCTTAAAGGTTTTTGAGGGAGGGGAGTTGGGAGGCAAGGGAGGTTCGGAATCTCTGTTCTGACCGAGGCTTTCCAAGAGCATGAAGCAAACTCCTGGTCCCGACAAAAAACCCTTTGAGTAATTGGCTGTGAATTCTGCTCATTTGCCTCCAGCAAAGTCTTTCAAAGGAGGATTTACAGTCACGGACCTTATCTGGCTTGGAGAGCTGCCAGCCCGATCTCTGCAGAACTTGGCAAGGAGCCTCGGAGAGTCACGAACCAATTCAGGGAACTAATGGTCTCCTGCAAACTCCAGTCCCCTTTCGCTCCTCTTTTTTTCCCTCTGGGAGGGGCCATTGATCGCCCTGTGGCCTTACTCCCAAGTCGACCCTTGTTCCTTAGCTGTTCCTTTCGTCTGGCCACTCTGC